AATTAACAATAATAAATAATGTAAGATATATTTTAATTAATATATTTCTTATTATGAAATAACTAATTTTTAAGTAATTAAATAATTATTTTATTAATAATAATATTTTGCTGAAATGAATTTAATTAATTAATCTCAACATTAGTAATTAATAATCACAATATAATGCACTATATAAAAAATTTTAATCAAATATATTTTTTATATGAGATAACTAATTTTTATTTATTAATAATATTTCATTACAATAAAATTAATTAATTAATAGTCATAATTAATTTGAAATAATTAATTATAAATTATTTACTTTATAAATAATTAATACATTTATTATTATTAATTATCTGGTTAATATAAAATGAATTAATAAGTCACACTATGTTGTTATGATAATATGTCCTTTTTGGTCATTTGACATCTAGCACAACCTTATGAATTATTGATTTACCAAACACATAACTACTTGTATCTCTTTATAAGTTAAGGGACTTATCGAACAACTTTTCTTTTTTTTTAAATATTTATAAGAAGTTTTTAGAATAAGTAATAAGTAACTTATACGGAGTCAAAAAAATAAGTAGTAGCCAAACATTCTCAAATATAGTCCTTGTGGAACTCATTTTTTCTTCAAGATTTGAGATTTATACCAGATAATATCCAATTACTATAAGAAGGAAAGAGAGCCGGATATAGAGGGGGTAGGAGTAGGAGAGCCGAGAAACCCTTCCGCCACCACCCAGAAGCCTTCCAGTTTTCCTTAGCCTCAGCCAAACCCCACCCCAATCACCATAGCTCCACCGCCAAACGTCTTCCTGTTCACCCGCATTTTCCCAAGGCTAATCATTCTTCCAGACCCTTCTCCTTCCTAAGACCTATTGCCTCCCTCTTCACCAATAAAAAACCGCACCCCAAACCCATAAAATATACCATAATTTTTCTAAGGGTCTTCTCCCTCTTCCTCATGCCCCCCCTCCTCCCCCTGAACCAGGTTGGACTATAGTTTCTTACCGCAGAAAGTCTCGCCGAGCAGTCAAGGCTCCCCACATCCCACTCAAACGTTCCCATCCTAAGTGTTTCTTTTGTCATAGCCTCTCCCATATGGTCTGTGATTGTCCCCAAGGCGAGTTTGTGTGCTTCTCCTGCCACGGGAAAGGTCACATTTCTAGAGACTGCCCTCAGGCTTCTAGAGCCTCCTCTGTGGCTCCGATCCTCCTTATCCCTGAGGTTTCAGCGAATCTCATCCAGAATATGTTCTCCTACGCTATCTTCTATCTTGCGAAGGGATCCCCTTCTGTGGCCGAGCTCAGGGAGATGTTATCCTATAGCTTCAATGTCAAAGATTGGCCTTTTGATATCAAGGCAGCAACAGGCACTAGTTTTATGGTGCAGTTCCCTTCAGACAACATCCTTGACCAAGCCTTAGCCCTCAAGATCATTGATATGGGCTCCTTCAAAGGCAGATTCTTGTGTTGGCGTGAAGACCTCCGTCTCACCACTCTCCCTAAGCCTTTCCTCACATGGGTTCGCATCTTTAGGCTCCCTTAATATCTCTGGTGTTGGGAGTTTCTTTTATCGCTGTTCAGGGAAGTAGGAGAATGTGTTATGTGCTCAGGTGATGTATCCTTTAGATCTAACTTCAGGGATTGCAAGGTCCTAATCAAGGTTATGGACCTCTCTGATATTACTAAGAGGAACAAATTCAGGTATGTTTCTATGGACAATGGTAATCTTCTGGAGGGATTCAATGTCACTCAGATTATTGGGCGTCAAATCTCAGAGCGGGACTTCGAGAGGTATGAGGTCCAGGAGCATGGGTCCAAATGGGAAGGGAATCCATCCACTGAGTCAGGCTGGGTCGACCGGGGCTCCGGCGATGTTGCTGTAGACCAAGTCCCTCTAACTCGCCGTTCATCGTCAGATCACCGTCAATCTCCAGGGCCTAGTCAGTGTTGTTTCTCTGCTGGTTCCCTCTCCTAGCCCAATTCCCCAGCAAGCTAGTAGAGGCAAGGGTATAGCCGTCCTTTCTCCTCGCGTTTGAATTTGGCGGCAGCATTGGGATGAGGGTCCCCTGTTAGGTCTAATCACCTTTCCGTTAGGACTCAGCAGCGT